GGCGCCCAACCCTTCTGCGGCCATCCAGGGCCATCACCAGGGCCTACGCGGCCCATCCGTTCCCCTCGAAACGTGAACAGGCCTTAACACCCAAGACTAAACAGAACAAAGCCAGCCCACCGCGCTGCTGAGGAGGAGTTTGCGAGCTGCAAACGGGCAACGTCAGCTTAGAGGGACTGGTGTCTCCACGCGGCGACGGGACGCCGCACGCAGCCACAATTCCTGTCATCATCGTTGCCGGATTGTAAAAAAAGGGTTCAGGGAAACACTGGGATCTTTAGGGGTTTCGAAGACAGCAAAAGGGGAACACATACTTTGTCGATTTCTATGGCTTCTGACAGCACTTTTCTTGCCTTTGGAAGATTTTTCTGCACTTTGAAGAGGTGTCGGGCTAACTTGATGGCGTAAAACGACGACTCGCTAATGGACTTGGCGTTCCGAACGGCCTCTTCAAGCAGGAGTTCGGCCTCCTCCATGTTTCCGTGTCTGCGTTCTAAGCTTACTCTCCGTAAGCGAATCATCGCTAGCCCTAGAATACACTCTTCGAACGTTTTCAAGATCCTTCTGGCCTCATCGATGTTGCCTAAAACACCGGTGAAGATGCTTTAGTACAAGCGACATCCCGCGGCCTCTCAAACCCAGCACCCTCCCAGCACCACGAGCGGTGCCCTTACCCTGCTGTTCCTCAAAGGCCGCCCACAGCATGTGAACCATTGGTTTCTTGGGGAGATGTATCGTGCAAGCCCTGCTGTAGACATGCCTCACTCCTTCAATACTATGATTCTCCATGTATTTGGCATACTATAGTCGAAAACAGAGCAGAGATTGAACAATTTAAAGCTTGTATCTGTCTTTAAAAACATGACAGAACGATAAAATTCTTTTGTTTAAACCCATTCAGCACCTTTATTGAACCACTAGACTAGTTTCTGTAAGGAAGGACGTAGAGAGGCAACGAAGTTGGCATATGCAGCAGTCAAATCTGGTTGCAAGCAGACCATCTCCTAATGCAACAGATATAGTTATAGATGAACAACGTTCCACAAGAGTACCAAAGGTTAGTCGCTAGGTCGAGGTATGCGATGCGCAGGAGGTAGGTGGTAAAGCGCCTCCCTTACCTTAATCCAGAAGTCCTCATAGAGGGCACATGAAATTACACATCTTTCAAAGAGGACCACGACTCGCTCGTGAGTGCCGTTTTCTATCTCAAACTCTAAGTACTCTTTCCAGTTTTTCAGCTGAATTTTCTCCAGAGGTTTTACGTGAAAGTAAGGCCTCTTTATCTGCAAGAGTCACAGAGCAGCAGCTTAGCACCAGGGAGGACACCACCCGCTCGCCTGAAAGGCACCAAGAGCCGCGCACCGGGCGAACGCCGTCTAAACCCAACACGCAGACAAACGCAAGTGCTCGTGGCCTGCCCGCCCATCTCCTGCAATTGACTTCCACGCTTGAGTCGGAGAATCACGAGAAGGAGAGATGGAGCGTTGGACTGAACTTCAGGTCAAACCTCTGCATTAAGCTGGTTATGCCAAGAGCCAGCAAGATCGCTGCTGCTGCTGCCGCCGGCTCGCCGGCAAGCGGTGCTGGGCGGGACAGCCAGCACAGAGCCCTTGAACGAGGTCCTGATCCAAACGCAGCAAAGCCTCCTTCCAGAGAGCCTTTCCTTCTTCCCTCCTCCACCTTTAGTTTTACCCGATTGCGACCCTCCCGCGCAGCAGTGCCCTCTCAGATACACGTACAAACGGATTAACAACTAGGAGTAACATTCAACTCCTCCAGGCCACCTGAAACGCAAAGCCCATCACGCCCTTCAGGCCCCTGACTGCACACTGCCATGGAGCCCACTGCCCTCTTTCCACTTGGACTAATCCCCAGGTTATTCCTGCTAAAGGAACAGTAAGACAGGTCTAAGCGGTCTCTGTCACTGATGGGCCATCTGTCCCATCTACCCCATTTCTGTCCGTTACACAGACACGCTCAACTTCCTGTTTCAAACCCCTCACAGATCCAACACGTTGGTACCCGCAGAGACTCCCTTGGTAGAGTAACCACTGACTGAGCCAGGCACAAGAGGACACCCTGTTGCCTCCACACCTCCTGCAGCATGCCCATGTTTTAGCCTTCTCCCAAGTTTTAGTAACATGCAGCTTCAGGTTTCCCTTCCGCCACAACACCTACGCTCACGTAACCACCCTCCACAAAGCACCAGCGTGGTGGAGCCCTGCTGCTGCCCCGACACGCTTCGTACCTGCCCTGCCTCCTAGGCAGGCCAGCAGGTACCACAGCGACCCCGCAACGCGTAGGGCTGGTGCTCCGGGCTGCTGCATGACGGGAGGGCGACCCACCGGAGGCAGACCGATCCAGCCTACGGCACACGGACTGGCTACATGCTACGCTTGAGCTCCCTCGGCCTGCAGGGTGCCTGGCCCGGGCCAACCAAGGGCAACGAGCAGCACAACCGCGCTGGCATCACGCAGCCCGGCAAGGAGACTACTCAACAGCTGGGACAGAGTTTCAGTGAACCTTGTAAAACCAGAGTCAGCTTAAATCAAGAACCGGCTTGTGGAAATGGGTGTTTGCCAGGAAGCAAAGAGACCAGGTTGTTGTCAAAAGTAACCAAACTTAATTCTGCACAGAGAAAGTTCCACGTTCGCAGTGATCAGCTGATCAGCACGAGCAGCCGCCTCTGATGCGGCGCACCTAGGATGGCCACTTCTGGGAAACAAGCGTTCACTATCTCAGGTGTAAGAGTGTGCTGTTAAAACACAAAACCACACAGGTTTCCTTCCTTACCGCTTCCTTAGCACTCCCTCCACCCACTCTGCAGCACCCCAGGCTGTGCTAACCTACCCGGCAGTTCACACAGGTGGACTTAGACTGTTCAGTGAACCGCACCCCGTCCTGCCTCTCTCCAAACACTGCTGCGTTATTTTACCTCACCAGGTGACCTCACAAGCTGCCTTTTCACAAGAAAAATGGCAGAGAAGTGAAACCTGAGCTGTGTTCAAAGCCCCACGACAGTCTGAACTGTGAGGCCGACCAGAATTCCAAACTCTCCCGTGTTCAGAGCTCTTGCGCGTGCTGCCTTCCACAGAAAAAGCACACTTACCGCTTCTTCGAACGTCCACCTCTTGCTGACTTCATGTTCATTGTGGTTAAATATCTCCTGGTGGATCTCGATGATTCTGTGCCTCATGTTTTCTATCTCAGTGACCAGCTGAAACAGGATTTCACAGGTGTCACACAGGCAGAGGCATCACCTCTGCGGATGCGCTCTGCGTGCGGCTACACCAAGAGCCGCGAATGGAGCGCGTCGCAGGCGCGCTGAGCGCTACCCTGGCTGCCAGGGGAAGGGCTGGGATGTGCCTGGGCCCTTGGTGCAACCCAACTCAACCGTGTTTCTATCGTATACCAAAGACTGAGACCCGAGAGGATCTGGACCCAAGTCACTCCTGCTCTCAGTATGTGGGCATTCCCACAGCTAGCAGTTCCCCTGGATGGCTCCAAGACTTCGTACGCCTTGGCAGGCTGGGAACTGGCAGTGACCGTCGCTGAGCAGGAGCTCGCTTACACCGCTGTTCCCTACGCGTTAACTGGAACACTTACGATTCCTTCCCACGGTTCACACACCACTGCTTTAACAGTTTGACTCAATCTCTTCCACACCTATAAAAACACTGGCAAGGTCTGTCCTGTAGACAAAAGCAGTCACCACAGGAGCCAAAGAGCAATGACACGCGAGAGAACCATGGGAGCACCTCGGCTACGCTAAACCATCTGCCAACAGACCCGTCTTCCAGCCAGAGGAAGGCAAGGAATGCCAAGGAACAGCGCCCGCGTACGTACCTTGGCGGGGTCAGTTATATCTTCGGTACCGCAGGGCAGGTCCTCTCCCGGCTGCGCGTCCTCCCCGCTGTGGCCGTTGACAGATGCCAGTTCTCGGCGCAGCTGCACAAACTGCTCGGTGGTCAGGAAGTCTCGAGGCAAGTTGTTCTGGATGTGTTCCTTAAACCTAGGGCCAGTCAGAAACAAGTCAACACCGACTTCACCTTTTACGCTGCAACACTCTGCGTAACTCGAGCAGAGCGACAACTCCCCGAGGGGTTCCTCACTTCACGCACCCAGAGCAACGCTGAGAAGGCCGTGCTGACAAACACAGCTCCCACCTGCCAGGCTGAGAAGGCTCCACGCCGCAGAGAAACGCAAGGCTGATCGGCTCGGGCAGCAAAGGCAGACCCCTTGCCACGTGAAATCGGTGGCAAAGGCCATGATCAGTTTTAGAGGAATAAACTTTGTTTCCAGACCCAAAAGACTGGCAGAAACTCCGGGGAAGACTGGTGCCTAACTTCACTAAGGTTTCTGGTTCCCTCTTAACCTCTCCATGTCCACACGGAATTCTACCACCTGAAACTTGACCAAGTGTTTCTCTGCTTAAGTCAATCGCTGTTTCAGCACTGCCTGAAGGAGTCACACTCAGAACTGCTCATTTTCCGATTTTTCAAAGACATGCTCTTTTCTTCCTCACAACTCCAAGGCCCTCCATTATTCCTCACAATTAATTATTGTGAATTAATCTGAAGCCAAGTCCCTGAGATGCTATCAGCACCCTGAAACAGTCACTCAAACCGTACGAGTGCAGATGTAAGCAAACACAACTCCGCAGCGACTTCCAGCTCGCGCTCCGAGGGAACGTTTTCACACCTACAGAAGCAGGTTGGCACGTGCTTGACAAACCCACCGCGCCAGCCCAACCTTTGGTTCCTCTTTACCTCTGGAAATGATGACTGTAGAGCTGTGTTGGAATTCCAAGGATGCGGTCATATATGGATGTGACTTCCCTTAGGTTTCCCTGTTCGTTTTCCCAGTTTATATACATTTCCCATAGTCTGTCAGAACGGAAATCTGTCCCGGCAGCTAGCACTGCATGCTCATAGGCTCTGAAAAACAAAGCGATTCCACAGTTGTTTCTGGATGCGGTGACAGAACAAGGAAGAAAAGTCCTGGTTCTTATTTCTTTAAGGATTATGAGCGTCCTCATTTACTCACAACCACACTTATACCCGTTATTTAAATTCTCCCAAGTATTTCCTAGATATCTGTAGCAAGACGTCTAGAATTTCAGTAAGTTCATAGAATCACAGAATGGTTTAGGTGGGAAGGGACCTTAAAGATCATCCAGTTCCAACCCCCCTGCCATGGGCAGGGACACCTTCCATAGCCCAGGTTGCTCCAAGCCTCATCCAGCCTGGCCTTGGACACTTCCAGGGATGGGGCATCCACAGCTTCTCTGGGCAACCTGTTCCAGTGCCTCCCCACCCTCTGCAGGAAGAATTTCTTCCTGATATCCAATCTAAACCTCCCCACTTTCAATTTAAACCCGTTACCCCTTGTCCTGTCGCTACAGGCCCCTGTAAAAAGTCCCCCCCAGCTTCCTTGTAGCCCCCTTCAGGCACCGGAAGGCTGCAATGAGGTCTCCTCGGAGCCTCCTCTTCTCCAGTTCACACTCACTCTTTTCTCCTCCAACACCACAACAGACCAAATAAAGGCAACCGAAAAAGCCACTGGCAGGAACACGAGATGTGAAGAAAATAGAAAATCCTTACCCCTTACATCTTGGGAGGCTCTAAACCCATCGCTGCAGCAGTTTAACACACAAAAGCTAGGCATCAACCATGAACTGAACGACCGCTGAAGTCCAGTTAAGGTTTAGGATCAACACATTCCAGCCTGCCCCTTCCACAGATTCTGTGGGCAACTTCCTCCAGCACCGCACTAGGTGTTCCCTACCCTGAAGCACTCGAGTTACAGCTTGCGACCCTCCTGCCGCACCGTACCGCCCGCCCCTTCGCAGGGAATCGGGCTCCATCAGCTCCCACAGACCCTTCGCTGCCCCTTGCCTTAAACACACCCGTGCGGTTACACCCCTGCGCAACCGTGCGAGGGCCTCTCCGCCACTCGTCTGCGGTCCACTCACCCTCGGATAGTGCTGTTAGTTTCGGGATCAGTGGGGTCCAAGGTCTCCTTTAAGAAGTTTATATAGTGTATCCAAAGATCAACACTAAGAGGAATTGCCTGAAGCCCTCTGCGATAAACCTATGAAGAGAACACGAGCTGTACTTCACAGATGTAACGGCGTCCTAATAGAGAGGCAACACTGTGTTATCCGGTGAACCTTAGAAATACTAATTACTGGAATTTTGTTTAAATAATCTACCATTACCATTTGGGTGGAGGTTGGATAGAACATGGCAATGTTCTGATCTCCACGTGCAGAGTCTTGATCTTCAAAGCGCAGCGGTCCCTGCATTCTGACCAGGTTGTGTGGGCAGGCTTTGGGGTACAGACCATAGGGCACAGACCCATTAGAGCATCATTGACAGCGTCTGACCAAAAATGCAATAAGATGTAGCAATTGTGACCAGCAAACCAACTATATTGTTTTGAAAACGAGTAATAAAGGTAAGTGACAGAAAAGCCCTGCCCTACTTGTTAAGCTGCAGTGTAATACAGAGGCTTGCACTGCAAAGCTTGACAAACTGTAGAGGTTTAACGCACCTGCCAACAAAGAGAAAAAACATTAGCTACAAATGCCACAGACGTGACACGTGCAAACAAAACCCCTACAAACCTGACCACACGTGGCAGGTACTGGCAGCCAAATGACTCGCAGGCGGTTAGTCATTGTTTGGCTAACAGGACCGGTGGCAAGAGCGGCGCCCAGCTACCTACGTACCTCATCCGACTGTTTGACGTTGTCGTGTCGCTTTTCCAGGTCTGCGTACTTTTTCCAATACCCATAGCAATATGGATAATGCGTGAAGAACCTGTCAAAGGCTTTCCTGGCAGCCGGCAAGTGGTTCTGCAAAAAACACACCGCAGAAGCCATGAATCCTGTCCTTTAACAAATCCTCACCTTGTTTAAAAGAACGATGGTTTGAACACTGTCTTAAAACCCACTGGTTTTGTTCTGAGCTCTGCTGACAGCGCCGGCACGGGCAACTCCCTCCCAACAGCGCCTACGGAAGCCCAATGTACCGCTCCAGACTTGTCCCCGGAACACTCAGGACTTGCTGGGGTGTCTCTGTTTATGCCTGGAAGGGTGAGGAGTAAGGGAGCGCATACTAACCTCCTGCTCTACGTACTGTAGTAGATAAACCCATCCTGTGAAATCCTGGGGATTGTCCTCTACTACTTTCCAGAACTTGTCAAAATCCAGAGGGAAGCCAGCCTCAATATCCGACGTCTGTAAACCTTCAATACTCGGGATTTCACCCTCCTCTGTGTTCTCTTCGTTCAAGCCAGGGGAACTGTCGGGTGACTGTTCCATCTCAGTTACACTCATGATTTCTGTACTGAAGTCCATGGGCTGCTCCTCCATCGCCATTTCCGTGCCATTGTCCGTGCTGTCGTTGCCTACGGTCGGCTTCTCCTCCTCCGTGCTATCGGCGTTCTCCATAGCTGCGCTACTGCCGGTCCGTACTGCGAGATCCTGCGGAAATACAACCACTCGGGGTTCGGCCAGCGAAGGTTCAAACAGAACCCGGGCGTGAAGTGTCAGCTGAGAGCCCCCACGTGCTTCAGGCACCCACGCACACACCTTCATCAGTCAGCGCTGCTTCCCACACCAGCCTCCGCCACTGGAGACGGCAACAGCAGTCACAGGATTTAACACCTGCACGCACGAGTCGCTGTGCGTGTTCTGAAAAACCACCACGGTGGCTAGCGTGTATGGAAGGGAACCAGTACGGTTTTCCTGCACGGGTCAGTGGGAATTTATTCCAAATAAAGAATTATGTGCAAATTTCTCCTACAACCTGGCACAAATCCTTTGCAACATAAACCTATGTTAACACGTGCCCCCAACACCTGGCTGAACGGGCTGAGGCCGCAGCTCTGCTAAGGATTACTGTCAGTACTAGACCCCCTTCCCATATTCAAGCCAGATCCTAACGACCAACAGATCCCGTAACACCGTACGCAGGGAGACTAGGGTAGCTCTTAGCTCTGGATGTATTTCGGAGGAAGAACAGTCCCAGACCATCATCCCCAAATGCACTGCAGCATCTGCCGCTCCAGTTTCCCTTCAGTTCTCCTCAGAGAAGTTGACAGCAAACATGCTTTGCACTCCGTGTAATTTTTAAAAGAAGCCTGAGGAGAGCAAACGGACCGCTGGCTTTTACTCCAACAGATCGTCCGTAAGCCATCAATACCACCAGCAGGGAAAAAACTCTTGGCAGAAAGGCAAACCACCTGCACCCCGTCTCCAGCAGCCGCACGGCGTGAGGTGGCCGGCCACGCTCTCCTAGGAGCTCACCAGGCCGCAGTGTTACAAGGTCCACAGGGTCTACTCCCCAGGTTCCCCAGGAACTGGCTGTTAGAAGTAAGTATTCCTACTCCCCGTCGTACACACCATCTGGCAATCACATAAATACAAGTTCTTTCCTTTAGTGTGAAGGGTTTGCTAACTTTACAGGGTAACTTCACAAACCCATCAGTTCACACCATTTAAAAGCCACAGGGACACGATGTGACTACACAGAGCTACACTACACTGCTCCTGCCGTCGGGAGAGGAGGGCGCTTGTGTGTAAAATGAGCAGTTTATTTCGCCAGTGACCAGTTCCTCCCCACACTGCGGGCCACGCCAGAAAGCTTGCAGACAGAGCTGGTTTCTTTACTGGGTGGTGGAGCCGAGTCTTCAATATTGGCTTTAAGAACAAGCGCAAGTCAAGCAATTACATACGACAGCAGCATCGTTATGGCTTCACCAGGAAAAGGCAGGAGAGCTGCGTGCTGCTACCACGCAGGGCTTACCTCTGCAGCCGTTAGGAAAGCGAGGCAGGAGTGTTGAGAACAGCAGCCCCAACACCCGCGGAAAACAGCTGAGTGCAAGTTTGAGAAAACAAATGCAACTGTTAATAAACACGCGATAGTTTGACCTAAACTGACTCCGGTATTTGACAGACGTTTCCCCCTCTAGCTGATTCAGAGGATGTATTCCAGCTTAAAGCACAACTCCTCCAAATCTAGCTGCCTTCAGATTACAGGCCGGGGGGGAAGGAAGCGGGAGAAGCGCTACTGCAACACCTCTGCACAGAAATGCAGCTTGACAGTTGGTTTCCAGGTGAAGGTGTTCTGGAACAGTGCCAGGTAACCAAGGCGTGCCCCAAACATAGCAACGGGGGGCGGGGTCGGGATCCTGCCCGGTACGCAACGAACGCACACGAAGCACAGACAAGCAGGTACCACAGCACCGAACGCCACAGGTTTTCTCATCCCTCGGGCTAAAGAGCTAAGTGTATCAGGTAACCACACACCAGCTTTCAATAACCTGTGTAACCCACGGTATTCAGCCTGTTTCAATTAAACGTTTCTCACGTACACTACTGGCGTTTAGGCTCGTGAAAGAGGTAACGGGA